TCACATACTTGAATATAAGTACTCCAATGCCACTGAAGGTACATATAATGCAGTTATTTCCATGTTTGTGTCTTGACTTCTGTGTCAACTGCTACACAGTGCTGAGCTGCGGAACCATAGTGAGTGTCTTCAACTGCTGTTGCCTTTGTCTTTTTTTTTCTAAGAAAACTGACAGCAGATTTCCAAGAAAATCAAACTGTGCTCCAAAACACAACTTTATAAAGGAAGCTTTTTAGATAGAGCATTAGCTGTGGGGACAGACCAAGGCCTCTTGCCTAATAAAGACCTGGCAATAGTATGTCTTCTATCACCAAAGCTTCACAAAAGACCTACTTCTGCAAGACACAAACTCTCAGTTATTTTAATATGATCTTCTGCGGCACTCAGCAGACTTAACAAAGACCAGAAAATGCAGCTCACTATATTCCCATTCAAATACAACTGTCACTTAAGCGTTTCCCCACTGGGAAAAAATAGTCAGGTTTTGAGTACACGTTGTACCAATACGTATGCATAACAGGCATAAACAAATTCCCCATACATACTATTTTCCTCTCTAAGAACAGCTTTAAGCATGGCAAGGTGTCCATAAGACTCTTAGTGTCACTCAGCCTGCAGTGGTTGTGCAGGAATAAGCTCCAAAAAGGAGCAAGGTCACAGCCATAATGCTGCTACATTTGTGAAAATGCTATACTGGAAAATGCTCAGGTCTGACTCTAAGCATTTCTCTGAAAGGAGGTTTGATCTGGATCTGATCTGACAAGACTCTGGAGCATGTTTGTAGATTGCACTACTCCCTCCCCAGGTACCAGCCTGGTATTTAACCTCCCCAAGTCTCTCAGGTGCTCTGGGGGAGATAAGCATAATCTGCGATGACATCTAGGCTACACTGGAAGATAATGCTGCTTCTGGTGCGTTATTCAATATACTTGCCAGGAGACTAGCTTCAGCTGCTTAAATATGCATCCACAGTGTGTTTCTAGCTAAAGCAGTACTCAGAGTGGCAGAATTAAACTGAACTGCCACCCTCAGGAAAACTTTATTAGAACAATTTCACATTAAGCAGTTTAGGTAACTAGATCTTAAATACACCAGCTTTCTAGAAACACTGTCAAGCACTTATGCTTAACTAACCAATTCAGCTTTTTCTTTTTTAAAAGGAGTACCTAGAAATATTGATCATACGGACTCCTTGGAATCCGTGCACTGGAGCAACTCTACCTGCTATTGATTTTCTTTGAGAATGCCATTTCAGATCAAAATACTGAAGATATCTTGCCTTGAACATCAAATCCTTAGGATAGCTAAGTTGGTATGGGTGTTGGACCTTTGAGCAAAACCATTGTTTTTTAGCATCACCTGTAACATTAACAGTCTTGACTTGGATCCTGTCTGCATGTATTGGAGAACACTAAGCAGTTCTTTTGTCCTTGTCTTTTTCTCCAGTACATAATAAATGCATCATTGGGGACAGCTTGGGTCTTTTTCACAAGCATAATGGACAGTTTCCAAAGTAAAAATTGACTGATCTGTAGGAAAGCAGGAAAAAATAGAGTATTTTGGCATATATCATGATCTTTTGAGTTGCAAAACAAAGTATGTTATACTGACTTTAGTCCTGAAAGGTATTCAGGCTTAAATATGTCACTGGGTCACCAAACTCATATTCTTCAACTTAGCCAAATCACCTGTTCTAAATAGCTGTCAGAGCACTTAAACATATTTTTTTGGTCTAGGCTTTAATTTTCCTTCAAATTGCTTTGTTCATATTTGGTTCTACCCTTCATGGCTGGCTTTGGAATGAATCACTTTCTTACACATCAGAAAAAAAGATCCATTACAGACTGAACATCCCATATTTACTTGAGAAGGGCATGAACAAGAACATGAGTTTTGCAAAATTATTGGCTTTGCCAGCTTCCAAAAGAATGCATGTTGGACTCTTTGGGGTTTTTTTTTGGTTGGTTTGGGTTTTTTTTAGTGTCTTTGAAACCATGATTGCCATCATACAACTATCAGACTGAGGATTTTCAGGCAATACCAACACAAATTATGCTGCAGGGTGTAGACCAAACCCTTAGGACTGTTCTTTTATACCAGGTGGAGGTGATACAAAGATACCATGAATGATTAGTGTTTTGATATGGAGCCATAAGGCCAGTCATATGGCATCCATTGGTTCATGCTGCGTCATCTTAGCAAAGGCTTTGCAACTGTTTAAACATGCTTAATAGTCACTTTGTGCTGCTGGAGAAGAGAATCTCAGCCTATTTCTGAAACATCCCACTATTTTTAAATAAAACTGCTGAGTATCAGTGACAATATAATCAGTTTTCAGCATGCAAGAACTTCCTGCTCCTCTTACTCTTGTTCTTTCCTTCAAGCGTTTTTTGTGACAAAGCAGCTAAGTAACAATAACCAAGTTTACACAATACGAATGGAAAAAGTGACATTGCTGTCACTGAGAGAAATCCCTTGAAGCAGAAAGAACACCTCCAGCAAAGCTTTGGGGGGGGAAGACGAGAAATAAGAAAACATAACATGCATTTCCAAAATTCATTCCAACATGAGAGGCATGTAAAAGATAATATCACAACCCTTCCTTTGCTCAAATTCCCAGCAAAAACCTATGCTCACAAGGGAAATAGCTGTGACGTTTAAGATGTTACCACCTCTTGCCAGAGGTTAAGCAAACCTGCACCTCAGTGCCTTCACAGCTTCAAAACCACTCTGAAAAGCATGCTTATCTCCAGTCACTGGATTTTGCATGTAACATCTGAGGTGAGGTGAGAATAACTCCATCAGTTACTCTAACAGTCCCTGCTGAAGACATACAGTGTCTTAACATCTTAAATTGTACCAGACAGATTTGCCTGGAGCTCAGCTAACCTCTCTTCGAGGTTCCAGCATGCTCTTGGATCTTATATAGATGGAGACTGAATTAGAGAAGCTACTGTTTCACTAATTTCCCAGCATTACTACAGGCAGGTACCAGCCCTACTGACAACTCTTTTACGCTGTTGTCAAAGATCTTTGTATCTTCCTACTTCCCAGCGGCCAGGAGAATGACTCGCTATTTTGGAATCACTGGTGCTCTTGGCTGACCTACAAACTTCCTTCAGACCCATGGCTAGCAAGGTCATTAACCCATCCCAGGGGACTCCTGATTGTCCTACTGTTTACAAAACTAGGTAATGCCTTCCCCATAGTTAGCTTTTCTATTATTGTGTCAAGTGCTTCAGGAACTACATCTTCTGTCCAGGCCATTTGCTGTGGCAATTATTTCCTTAACAGCGTTGTGGTCCTACGCATGTGAAGCAACGTTAGTATTTGATTTGCTCTGCAAAAAACAACTTACAAAGTCAACAGTGCTTGTACGTAACCTGAAGTGAAGAAGCCTACACAATTATGGGGCCAGACGACACAGGACATACATCCTTGTTCATGTTGTTCCTCTTCTGCTTTCAGAAACAGAGGGAAAAGGAATCTCAAATTCCCCAGGCAGTACACAGTCACATTCTCCCCTGGTTGTTACAGATTTGTTTTGGTGCTAAGTTTCTCTGTCTCTTTCTACACAGTGTTCCCAGAAGCCCTGAATATATTTATTAGCATTGTTAAGAGGATAAATCCAAAAATGAGAGAGACTTAAAGTTCTCTTCATAGTCCTGTCTCAGGTCCAACTCAGCACTGAGCATTAAATTTACTGGTTGGTTGGTTTGTTTGGGGTTTTTTCGGTTTTTTGGGTTTACTGAACTTAATTTTCCTTCAGTGCTTGAAGAGCTGTTGTGAACATTCAGAGAACTATACCCTGGCTGGGGCAGGCTGGTGCCCTCCCATACCAAAATAAGCATCTCAGACAATGACAAAGCACTTGGTATCTGTCAGCATACTCAGGCTATCCTGTGAACCCAATGACTCTGGCTTTTGACAAAATAGAGGCAGAGGAGAAAAACAACTGTGGTTATCTGGTAATGCAGCACCGTCTGGTCTCACCCCTAATGCAGAAGGCTTGGGTCTCAGTCCCCCTTCTTTCCACCTGTGGAGCACAGGGGTGCAGGCATGTGTCAGCTCAGCTGCATTGGAGTGACCAGGCACTGGAACCAGTATGCTGTGCTGAGCTCCCGCTCTGCTGCTCCACTCCAGCTGGCTTGAACCCAGACAGCTCAAGTTTCTCTGTGTATCACTTCCGTGCTCTCCAGATTCTGGGGCCAGCACAGGCAGAGGCAGCCCAGATCTGTTTGCACACAGGATTTAAGTTGCCTTCCTGTTGCGCAAAGCAGAGCAGAGATGAAAGGGGCAGCAGCTGCAATTACACAGCTTTGTAGAGATTCCATAACCATGGGTGCATTTCCTGTATCTGGAAATAAGCAGACACTTTTCAACCATTTTGACTTGTATAAGGCTGCTAAGTAAAGGGAAATTCACCCACCCTGCAACTTCAAGAGCTGCAGCTGCAGGGCGGAAGCACAGAGCAGTAAGCATTTTGCTTACCTGCTGCTGCTTTCCTCATGCAGCGACACTTTCTCCCTACTGGGGGGAGTATTTTTACCTGCTAGGAAGAATGAGCAGTAAGCTAGAAAACAATCAAAAGGGCTTTTTTTCTTCCCCTTACACTTTCTGCCTGGAGTGATTTAGAGAAAGTATGATTTCTGTGAGGAAAATAATCACAACCTGAAGCTGCTGTACCATCTTCTGCTTAACACTGCATGAAAGCATTTAGGGGTCCTCACCCACTGCCTTCAAAAGTCTACAGGACAAAAAAATTAAAGCATATTACATCCCAGAGACAAATGAGGTACATCTATCATTCATGGCTTTTTGTGCACAATCTGGTCACTCCGAAAGACGGCTATTCTTCAGTTGAATCATGCATCTATCTGTCATGCTTTCTGTACAGTTACTTAGCTATGCTCCTTACGGGAATTCAGTTTGCTTTCCTTTCAGATTGCAAATAAAAAGAGAAACAATAGGAATAAGAATTACATAAATTTAAGTACACGCTTTTATTTTATACTTTCATGGCACATTTTGATTTGTAAACATTAAATTATCAGTCCCCTTCTTCATATGCTGAAAATAACCACCAGACATTTGAGAGCATTACCTGAGATTTAAAAAAAAAAAAAAAAAAGCGAAAGATCTGGCATCTTCTACCTTACTCACATACAGTGCCATTTTAGGAAGAATTACGAAAGGGAATGTTTTCCAAAATAGGACAATTTCTTTTTGACTATAAAGATATAGAAAATATATCAAAACACTGTGGAATGATCAGCTGTATTCAGAGGATGTTGGAAGTCACTGTCTCAAACAATTCCATTAATGCATAGCTGAAACACTGCATCAGTCCTGCAGCAGCATGATATCAACATTGTCATGAACACCTTGTAAAAGTAGCTCCCCTTGATAAGTGACAATCTTCCGTCGTTTTGCAGCCTTAAGAGTTCCCACTAGGGCTTCAAAAAGGTTGGCACACTTTTCATCAGCAAAGAGTACACCAAATTTCACGCTCACTTGTCCATCAGCATCTAAATCAAAGATATAACATGCAGATTTTCTTTCAGTTATGAGAAAAAAAGTGACACGTAGGCAGAACATTGAAAGTAAACCCCATGGTGTTTCCCAATTTATTGGTGAACATATTATGAATGCTGAAGTAGTAGGCAGAACTCCTGCCTGGTATGACTTTCCCTTTTTTCCAGAGACTCACATGAAGGATGACATATCTATCTGTTATGTTTATTTTTACTAATGACTTTCTGAAACCTATGACCAGCACAGGCTGGTCATTGAACCTCTTCAAAGCATAAGGAGGAAATTAGTTTTAAATAATTAAAATGTTAAAACTATTTTTGACAAATAATTGAAACTGAATAACTGAAATATATGAGCAGGCAGCACATCCACAAATTGCATAAATATTTGTAAAGAGGAGTTTCAACAATGAAAAACAATCTTAAGAGAAAAGGCTACCTTATAAGAAAGTTTAAGGAAGGTAAGGACTATATCTATAACTCCTGGCTTAGTTTTAGGCATACACATCAATTCCTTCCAAATAATACTATGATGAACAGAACTGAAGTGTATGAATTCTGAAGTTCAGAAGTTACCAAGGAAAGAGGTAGAAGAAGGTTGCACCTTTTCCTTCCTTGATGGCTGTAGCAAGTATTGGAAGTCTAAAGCAAAGGGTAATTTTGCAGCTGGTTTTAGTGGAAGCGGGATTCAGGCCTACATCCTCTGTGCTGCAGAGGCTTAAACATCTAACTTCATAACAGAACTACTTTAAAGGATGGGACGAAAGGGAGTACCATACAGTCCAACATTAAGTATGTATGCAAGTTTTCAGGTTCCCTGAGCCTGCTTAATTAAATTTGCCAAGTTCATACGTTGATATGACTACAGCTGTGTGACATGTATGTCATATACATACATGTGTGTATAACATGACTACATCCGTATGATCAGACATATTACCATACTTACTTTTGGTTCCCAACCGCCGAATCTCCTCAACTAAGAGGCTAATTTCATGTTCCACATTCATCGTGGTCTAAAAAGTAAAATAAATTTTGACAAAGTTATTAGGATACCTGTAAAACCTTTGCGCCATCCTGGCCTGTTCTCAGTTCATCAGGAATGTCACAGCACTTCATAAATCCCAGTAAGCTGGAGACACATGGCTAGAGGACAATCTGAGATTTCAGTCTTGAATGGATAAAAAGCCTCCACGCCTTCACATTTGAAGAGAAGTGAACAGAAACTACAATCTCAGTACATTCTAAACAAATATAAGCAGCTAATCTCAGAATATGAAAAATGTGGGAAGGTTAGGGCAGGGTGGGGTTTGTTTGTTTTAAAGAACGAGGTCAGGCTGCCACAGAATCAGAGCATCCTGGTAATGTCAGAGGTCTTCAGGGGCTTTGCAACTTTCTGTCAATGCCCTCAATATAAATGGAACACCTTCCTTTAAATTCCTCTCTGGGATATGGGATGTGTGGTAGATTTGGTTTTTTAAACCACATGACAGCTCTCCACTTATCCTGGCAAAATACTGCGGACATCCAGCTGCTTACAGCAGGTTGACGCACGTGTTGCCTGAAAGGACAGCAGCTACCGCACACCTGCTACTGAAAGAGGAATTGAAGCAGACATAAACTATTCAAGTGTCCTAAGAAGGAAATTTATTTCCACTCAGAGCAACCCCAAGGAACTACTACACTGGCGAACATATCCTGTGCACCTCTTTTCTGTGAAACCTGGCAATTTTCACCCACTTGCACCAATGCCTTGCAACAGTTTAGCTGAACACAACTTAGTAGATGGCAACACTACAGTCACACAAACACTATTGCTACAAAGCGTCCATGGTTAATAACTGCAGGCACCTGAAAGGTGTTTTGGGATCTATGCTGTGCAAAGTGGCATCAACACAATTAAACCTTTAGATGTGGAACTCCTTAAGTAAAAACTGGCATCAAGGTAAGCACAAGAAACTGGCCCTACAGACAAAGCAAAGCATCAAATGCAGCTTCCACAGGTGCTAACAATGCAGCCTGGAAGAAAAGCTTTAGAGTTAGCTTCTGGAGCTAAGCACAGTCTGAAAGTGGCTCAGTGAGCACTGAGATAGCCTCTACTGCTCAAGAAACCAGAATTTCTGCTCAGATCTGTTAAGTAAGCAGAGCTAAAAATCTGACATCTAGATGCATCACAAACTCTTCCTAAGAGAAAACCTTCACCTCCTTCAAGTTAAAATAAGTAAGAGTGATATAGTTCCACCTCCTGATCACTCATGTTTTATCCAAGAGGCAAAAACCCCTTTGTAACAGAGCCTTATTTCAGATCCCAAATTCACTTGCAAAAATCTGTATTTATGAAAAATCTATTTCATATAGTCATTTATATTTCATGTATCTGTATATATGAAAAATTGAGCAAGCTTACCATCAGCATGGGCTTCAGGCAAAGCCCCATCCAAACCACAGACTCATCCCGAACACATGGTAACAACAAACATTCAAGGGGATATTAACAGACCAGCAGGTAACATCATGCAACAGGATGCGGCGCGGCGGTAACACCTCTGCAAAGCCTGCCTTAAAAGGGCATGGCAGCAGTTCTAATTGCCTGAGATGAATTCTAGAAACTTTTAGATTTTGTTTAACTGAGAACTAAATATATTGTTACAAGTCACTGAGAAAAATATGACCCATCTACCAAAAAGCTTCCACTATCATTATTCATTTGTCAAACCGCCAATTTTAATATTGGCCACTACAATGGCATAATTAGCTTCTCTTTAAAGATGTTATTTTAACTTTAAAGGCTTTTTTTTTTACTTTAAACTCTGTAAATTCATATTAATTTCAAATTCTTTTCCCCTCATACACATACACCACCACTTTAAACAGCAGCATTTAGAATTTTTAAAAAAAGTTTTCTTCATTATTATGCAACACTTTTGGTATCAGAGACCCGTGTCTGTGTAGGAGTAAGGAAGAAAGGATTCTAGGTATTTTAAGCACACTTAAATATTTACTTTATACGGTCACATACTCAACACACCAACTACCAAAGTGCATGCCAACTATTCAACTCTAATATTTCTGATGCAAATATATTGCTGGAAGCCAGCGACATGTTTCAGTACGTAGGACGAAAACTAAACTTCCCTTTATTTGCTGGAAATCACCTAACAGTTATTTACCACAAATACATCTTTCTAACCACCCGCACCGACCTCTCCCATTGCAGATACTGCAAATACCTGAGAAAATGGCTCCTCGCCGGGCCCGCCTTCGGCGGCTGAGCGCGGTCCCCTCTGCCTTCCAGCAGCACCTCTCGGCACGACCTCCCCCCGGCTCCGGCTCAGCCGGGGCACGGCCGGGCCG